AATAAAAAGAATGAAGAAGGAAAAATATAAATGGAAATAATAAATTAGGTAAGAAATGTTTCGGTCTTACCCTTTTCACCACAAAACCGATAATAAACGCCTTTCAATTTCAACTACCATAATTAATTTTTGTCACAATCGTCGTACTGACGAGGTCCAATTGTGGTAACGGTAAGAAATGTATACGACTTAATGGACCGGAGCATTTCTTACCAATTTACAAAATTATTAATATTTCTTTTTTCTCTTTCTTCTTTTGTGTTTGTACATTACTTTCTCTTTTAAATCCATTCGTGATTTCGTTGAAATTTAAAAACTAAGCAGCAGATGAACGATAGAAAAAGTTCGCAACCTGACCTGTGTAAAGGGTTGGCTTCTTCTTATTTGTGCCAAAAATCTTGATAGTTGGGAAGCCTTTTATGTCGTAGGGAGCGCCAACTGATTGATGCTGCGTCATGTCTACCGCTCCAACTTTGAAGAAGCCCTGTACGGCATTCGCTAGTTTCATGTACTCTGGCGCCAACTTTTGACAGTGACCACACCTAAAAAAAAATTTAAACGGTCACATCTCACGATCTAAACATGAACTGGCCAACGTACCGACTGCAAGTGCGATGATGCGTATCTTGCATAGTTCCCTGCAGTTTTTATCTCTCCTGGCGCCGATTTCTCCGGCAAATGCTTTTAGCTAAACAAATTAAGACTGGCCACCAGGAGCTGTCAGGAAATAACCCCTAAAAATTACAGTCTTCTAACTTTCCTGGCTCCCGAATTAGCTACTTATATGAAAAACTTTCACGGGCCCGTACGTGGGTACCACTAGGGTAATAGCGCCCATTTTGGGATTAGAGTCCGTACGCGCGTATAGATTAAGTTCCCGAAGTTTCAGCCCTGTAGCTTTTGTAGGTCTTGAGATGAAAAATCGGTACAGATGCATGCACACACACACACAACCTCTCGTAGTCTGTGTGTGTCTGTGTGCATTACACAGATGCAGAAAACGCATAATGAACAGAGCATATCCCATGGAAGCGTGCACATGAGCACAGAAGGCAAGAGAAATCCGTTCCACATCGGGAATTGCAATACTACCAGAAATCTATTTATCTCAATAACTTGCTGTCAGATTTCTGTCTTCACTGAGGTAACATGTTGTCTTTTCGAGGTATAGGCCGATTTAGGACGGACTGCTGGGGAGAGGGGAGGGGGGAACAGGGAACGACGGAGGATCGGGGCTCAGGGGGTGCGGGGAAAGCCTCTTCTCACAGTGGAATTATGCAAAAACTAGGAGCAGTTGTTAAAACTCAAAGTTTCACTGTTACAACTGCTATTTGAAGTTACTTTAGTTTTAAGTATGAATATACCCGGGTTTTTGTAGCTTGTACTACTGGGGATGAGGGGGTCGGCGGGGAGGCGGGGGGAGGGAGGGGGTGAAAGACCCATGCCCCCGATGTCTGTACTACTGGGGATGAGGGGGACCGGGGAAGGAGGAGGGTGAAAGACCCATGCGGCCCCCCCCCCTTTTCCTGGATCCGCCTATAATCCGAGGACTAATCCGGCTGGTCGTTGACCTTATCGTGAGTACCATTATCACGCAATGCGCACCGCATAATTCGTTATTTCGTCCATCGAATTTCACTTTTTTGCATGCCCATGTCACTCATCTGATTACACTCGAATGATCATGGAATACATATGTACTATATGAAAGAGTTACCACAATAATATCATGACCGCCTGAACAAACAGTTTTGGAGATTGTTGTTTTTTAACAAACCTACCCTTCGTTTTAACTTTCTGACTTCAGCCGTTCCACATTTTGATTTCTTTTGGCCCAAACACTTTCCTTAATATTATGATTCGGTCTTCTAATGGCCGTAATTGATCATTATCTCAGTTTATAGTGATGCAACTGAGAAGAAGTGTACCATGGTGCGAAGAATTCGACGATCCAGATGTCATCACTGTCCAACACTCTCTTGTGAAAATTCTTTTCGGTTAGCTGAATCACATTTGAATTGCTGTCGTACAGCGCCTCACTCACGCCGAACAATACAGCTGCAAAAGTCAGAAATTCCCTAACTTATGACTTTTGCCTTTTTAACTGACTTTTTTGCTGCTCTCCCCCTTTTTTTTAAGTACCTTCTGCCGTCGTTGCCTAGCGAGACTTGATCATCCGGCGAGCCTCTCTCGAAGAAGACCAAAACTGAAGCCTTCCTTTTGCACGTTAGTTTACTTTTTATTCTTAGAAAATCTAACAATTTGTCTATATAATTACATCATTCTCTCCTTCTCTTCTAAACTACCTAACATGTCCCCAATTACGAAATGGGGCACTGTACTGATGATCCCCACCCCGTTTCGCATCATTTTAGTCGTTTGTGTTTACAGTTCAGGGATGACACACACAGACGTCACCCAATGCAAAGACGGCTAGCTTAAATGAGGTTGTATAATTTGGCTTCTTCGCAAATATCAAATAAACACAGTCGACTGTTCCATTCCTCTTTCCTCTTGTCGCTGCACCTTG